TTTTTATTTTAACTGTGAGCCACCCAGAGTCACCCGTTGGGGGGAGATGGGCGGCATACAAATTTAATAATAAACAAACAAACAAACAAACAAATAAATAAATTAAGGGCTCCGTTTCTTGGCTATATTGATAACTATGGTGATAATTTTTCTTGGCTGCCATATATATTTATTTTTGTACTGCATTGTAATTGTTTTAACTGGTTTTATAATGGTTCACGGCCCAGAGTCACTTGGTTAAGATGGCGGCTATAGAAATTAAAATAAGTAAATAAAATAAAACTCCTGGATAGCACATTTGGGAAAGGCCATACCAGATAGATCTATACTTCCTAATCTCTTTTATCCATCTTGGGTCTGGGCTGAGGAAACGCATTCCCCTGACATTTCCTTAAGCTGGACAATTCTCTTTATCTTCTGACTGAGAACCTGCAGTTTTGCCATCTCTGGACTTTGTGTCCTTTTGAGTGATTGTGTATTTAAAGGCTTTATCTGTGGGTCAGAACAAACAACTTGGGTTTTAAGGGGAACTTCTTGAACAAAATGAGTAAATCAGTATCTGTCACACATTTGCAAGTTTTGTGGAAATGTGATATAACTGAATACATGACCTTGCTTTTCCTCTTAGATGAGATTTGAATACTTGTTATTTAGACTTGAGTTCTGATGTTTGTGAATTTCTCCTTACTCTATAAAGGGAGTCTGGGTAGATCACAAAGGTCCTCTTCTTAGGAAGGGCCATTTTAATAGAAAATATCTTCAGTGTCAGCTCGTGGTTTGTAACAGTGGTTCCAAATAGCGGGAAATAAATTATTTGTCTAGCTCATGGACAAAATAACATGTCTGCAAATGCCTTAAATTTAATATCTCTACTTAACTTACACAGTTTTATTGATATGTTATTTTGATCTAATCTAACCCACGATGAATTAAAAGCAAATTACATATTTGATTACACCAGTTGATTGTGCTGTATTATAGGCTTGATAAACTAACCCAAGGAATAGTCCAGTTCTTCAAGAGAGCCAAATACTTATATTTATCCAAGTTTAGTTTTCTTTTTATGCACAGTGCTTTTCCACCTCTACTAATACAGAACTTGTAATCACTTTCAAAATCTAACTCTTTATGAAACCATAACGTTAATTTATGGGGCTCTAAAACTTTCATTCTGGAAGAAGAAACTATTAATGTTTTGTTCTGGATCAGGGTCTGAGACAGGACTGTTTCACAATTGTGTGTATGATAGGTTGTATAGATGAGAATCTTAATTGGTGATAAGAGTTCTGAAGATATAGATTTTAGTGTGAGTCCCTTCCCCACCTGTGCTTTTAAGATTAGTAAAAATGGTTAACTTAGGTTTTTCATGCAGAAATACGGATGAGGAAAAATGGAAATAGTTTAGTAGATAATTTACGAAGGATAGAACTTCAGACTCTCTTTGACTCCATCTCTCAGCATGGTCATGTTAGCTGGCGATGATGGGACTAGTTTGACATTAAGGAGGCCGATTTAGAAATAGAAGATAAAGAAATTCCAGTTAATGCTGCTTGAGCATGCAGAATACATCACCTCTTGGATTTCACTTTCTGGACTGAAAAATGATGATGTGAAGAACTGCATTGCTGCATCCACCAAGATCCCCTTGCACTTTATATTGATTGATCGAAAGTGACAACCTAATTCTTGGTTCCGTCCCTGCAGTTAGTAACAGAGAAGGAGAATCCTTTCTCTGTATTCCCCCACCACCCCTCCTTTTTAACCACTCATTTTACTTTTGTGATATCGAATGGAAGAGGTACTTGGAATGTCAGGGGTAGCTAATCCATTTCAGATGGTCTCCGTCTTCTTGCCCCAAGAAGACCAGGGTGCTCAGATTTCTTCCTTCAAAGCAGAAGGATGGCAATTAGTAGTGGCTTGTTTATAAGCTGTTCGGTGTTTGAAGTCTTCCAAACCCTTCGGCTTGTGCGTCCTCCTTCCAGCCTTTAAAGAGCGGAGGGGATGTTGATTATTTAGCTGTTGTAGCTCTGAAGTCTCCTCCTCCTTCTTCCTGAGATCCGCCCCTAAGCAGAGTACGCACTGTGGAATGACAGGCATTCGTTCGTCTTTGGAGGGAGCTGGCATGGGAGTGTATTTTTGAGAATTACACCGTGCCCAGGCCAGGGATACAGGACATACTGTCGCAGAGCTTGGACCCATAATCCTGGACTTTTTCTGACTTGGGGTCATTTTGCTTTGGAGTCTGGGGGAGCAGTGAACTTTTTCTACCCTACGGAGTCTGTCAACTTTCAAAGGCTGATGTCTGCTTCCCGAATAGGCTTGCCTTGTTCCCTTTCTCTGAGCCTACCTTGAAGAATAGAAGAATGGGACAGACGCGCTACTCAAGACCGGTATATCCAGCTCCCTTGGGTGAGTAATGGAGGGTCTAGTTGCAACTGAAAGCACAGCCAAGAGTCGCAGGTGAAGTCAAAGCACATTTAAAAGAGATGGCTAGGATTGTATAAGTTGGAAGGGCTTTTGATTCTCAAAGTGCTGAGGACAGATTGTTTTTGTAATCCTTGTTTTTTTTTAAAAGAAAAAAAAGACAGAATCCTTGCTTTGGAACATATATTGCTCTGTAATTTGTACCTGGAGTAGTTTAGGAACCAGTCCTTTTGATCTTTGCTAGTTGCTGCCAGAGCGGTCAAATGATGGGTAAACTTGGTTTAAAGCGTTTAGCAGAAAACGTATGTCGTGCATTTTGCTTGGAGTGAAATGTTTCAGACGCGGATCAGATGCTGATTTGCCTTTTCTCCTCCATATGAATGATACTTATTTATTAAAACTTACTTCTTCTAATCACTTGCCATCGTGAAGCAGTTTACTCAGTCATCCTTTAGCAGGAGATTTTTTTAAAAAACGCTCCTATCCACTTGTTTCCATCTTCAAAAAAAGCCATTCCCGCCCTGATCTTACACTTTAGAACTGAAATGGGCTCATTATCTAAGAGTGAAGGAAGGAGCAGAGGTTCAGTGGGAGGATTCTAGACCGCAGGGTCCTCTCAGTGCCATCCTGTGGGTTTTAGGGACTCTTAATGTTGATGTTGGAGTCCCTGTTGCTGTCCTACAAAAGCCTATACTGGACATCTGTGAGGTTCTGTTACGTTGTCTGGCAAAGTGGAGAGCCTAAGATTTGGGGCAGATTTGGGGGAGATTTCTTTGTAATGCCTCACCTCTGGGCAGCCTTGGTGATAGTGGGAGCAATGTTCAGCAGTAGGTATGTTCTGCATGTTAAGAGTTAACATCACTATCCGACAATGGGATCTTGTTTTCTTCTTCCCCTCCTATTTAACTGAGGGCCCAATTGGATTGTCCAGGGAGCCATCCAGAAAACTATCTCTGTAAGGCTACCAAGATCGGAGTAGTGTTGCTCAATAGTCAACCAGGAGCTGAATTAATATGCTGACAAATGAGCCATTTATGTACCTGCCGTTAATTTTTTTCCCAGTACTTTAATCTCTAGTTAAGAAACATTTTTTAGCCTGACCTTGTGCAGGATATATTTCACAAATAGGGTATGACTTTAATGGAGACGGTCTTTGATTTGGGAAATGAGCTTTAAGGGTTAAATATATTTGTACTTGCCTGGTGGCCTCTATTATAAGTCACATTCTAAACCTCTACCAAGCGCCTTCTCGTTTTCAAGAGACTTTTCTATTTTTGTGTGCCTGTGGATTCTGTGCACTTCCTAGCCATTTTAAATGGCTAAATGTATTTAGCAATTTCTTTATTTGCAAAGAAGTAGGTGGTCACGTCCTTATGTTCTATAATCCTGTGTTCCAGATGCTGAGTAGAGTAAAAACATACTGCTGGTGGCCGAAATAAAAGGCGATTCTTGTGAGATCTTTCATGCAGGTACCTGAAGAAGGTCTAGTCATAAGGTGGTTAGTACAGTATTTAGTGTGCCACATAAATGCGCCCACATACTGCCCGTCTCTCTTATGCCCATTTGGTTTTGCTGAATCAGATCAACACAGCTATTTTACACCCTTCGTTTCTTATATATTGCATTATGCTTTCACCAGAGACAGAATGTATATTTGTCCTTATTGCAAAAGGTGTTTGTGACATTTGTTGATGTGGTTACAATAATGGAAATAGCCATTATTTATCTGTAGCAGGTTGTTTTTCTTTCAGGAAGAGAGGTGGGGTGACCTTCCCCATACTTAAGCCTTGAGTGCACATAGTTTGACTTCAGCAAACATATTGCAAGACAGTCCGGTGCTGTTGGGAAGGTATGGGGAAATGTGGAAATTGGTTCAAACTTTTTTTTTTTAATCCTTTTCAGACAAGGGCTTATCCAGCATGCTCTTGACTCATGCATGTGTGTGTTCCCTGTGATAGAATGTGCCAGGCAAATTATTACTTCAAATGTGAATTTCACAATCTAACAGGCAGCCGTAGGCGTACAACCTGTGGGTCACTGGTTGTGTGTGTGAGATACGGCTCCTTTTATTTCCCCCCTCCCCGAATTTGCTGCCACTGCCGGTACACCTAATCTCCTAGCCTGTATCTCGTCCCTGCTGAAGTAGAACGGAGGTTTTTAAGAGGGAATAGAGTCTGCAGCATTCCAGTTTTTAAGTTTATGAGCAGGAACCCTGGCTCTTCTTCACCCCGAGTATCTACTGTTACTAACTGTGGTTATGATGAAAAAATGACAAATTGTGTTGTGACTCCATGATGCAAATCTTACCGTTTTGTACTTGTGTCCTGTCACTGGATGCAAATACACAAGTCACAGGGATTTTCACAGTGATGCCATGATGTGTGTTCTGGCACTCCGCCCACTCCCTGTGTATTCACTTGACATTCGCTTCATGCTCCTTAATGAGCTATTCAAGCCGTTGGTTAAGCCAGAATTAGCTGTCCACAATTACAATTTCTGCCAGGTGTCCACTATTTTTCCAAATATAGGCTTACTAATGCAAATGTATACCTTAATATCTGTTCCTGGGCAGTGAAATTATTCAAATGTTTGCATAGTGGACACATTGTGTCCAAAAATAAAATTGGTGCCTGAATTAAGCAGATGTGTCATGATACAGAGTTTAAATTTATGGAAGAGAAATAACCTATTGTCTTTAATCAGAAAATATGCCAGCTTGAGGGCAGAGATAAAGCATGCGCAGACTTCCTTAATGAAAGAGCAAAAATAGACATTTGGTCCACTTATTAATGGGTGGCTACAGTTGCACGAAAAACCTGCACCAGTGTTCCTCTGCCACAGCTGGAATTATCTAGCCTTTATTCTTTGTTTTAATTCAAATATAAGTAAATATTGGAAGTCATACATTGGCCCTAAAGTTTGTACCAATCTAAATAAATCCATTAGCAAAGACGTAGAACATGTACAGAAATAGCATTAACCAGTTCTTGGATCCTTCTCCAAACATGCCGTTGTAGTTTTCAGTGGTTTTGCTGAATAATTTTAATGGTGGTATTGTTTACCTCCAAAGAATTTGCTGTTGGCCTGGGGTGAGCGCTGATGTATGAATGTAATGGTTGAAATATCAGGAAGAAGCCCTTTTTCCTGTTCCAGGGTCTGTTGGATTACTGTGCTACATCAGAACCATCATGAGTTGTTCTTGGCATAGTGACATCAGCCACCTTCCTGCTCTGCTTGTCATGTGGCGCTTGGTGCAATGCAGGATATGCTAATTTAATACCACCAAATTTATTGAGTTAGTATTGAGCGCCTGGTGGATACACAGACATTGGCACATACATACATGCATTTCTGCTAGTGGAGGGGGATGTGTTTCAAAAAAGCTCTAATTTGGTGGTATTTATGGCACCACTAGACTGCTTCCTGGCTTTGTTGTTATGAGATACTGTTACCCTTTGGAATATGTAACTCAAATGAAGCTTATAGCTAACCATTGTAGAAGTAGACAAGACAAGAGTTGCATTGCCCCAGAATCTTAGAGCATGTAAAGAGTGATAGGACAGACAGTCTGTGTTCGTGGTGTTAAATAGTGCAAGAATACAAGCCTGTCAAATGTGCTGACCCGTATTACTGTTGATCCATCCATTGTCTGCACAATAAAATCTTAGAATCTTTATGAAAGAGAAAGTGAATATATTTTCTTTGACCAAGATTAGTGTTCTGAACTTCATTGGGTTACTGCATGTCACAGTTGTTAGAATAATATTTGATCTGATTGCAGGTGGCTGTGGTATGACACCCTTTATTTCAGAGTGGTTATATCCTAGTATGTCTTCACTGAATTACCCCTTTACAACCAGTAATCAATAGGATGGATTCTAGAACCTCATTGCCTCTTTCCCTGGCACTGGGAAGAATAGTGAAAACTATAATTTGGGGATGCAACAAATGTCATTAAAAGAATGTTCCTACTGTGAAAGGAGGAGGTGATCATTTCACCAAGTGAATGAATAAAAAGTAGAGCTCTTACTAAAATATAACACATGAGATAAGAGCTGCCATTGGCATTTTTCTAAAGAGGAAGGGAGCTTGTGAATACTTGGAATATTTAGCTGTGTTGCTCTTGATGTCCAGAAGTACTTTTGCAAAGGAAATCCTAAAATGTTGACTTTTGTGTTCTGCAAAATATGAAGAATGTTTTTTCAAAGGTACTCACCAAACGTGGGATCTCTTTCAGTCTATTTCATAAACTTTAGATCTTACTCTTTTTGTCTATGTGTCATGGAGACCAAGATGCATAATGTTCCTGAGGAATTTCCTCTGGTTGCTGATCAAACCCAGACTTGCTTAGTTTCAGTAACTATAATCTATAAATTGTTCCTTTTATGGTAGTGATGGGTATACAGTATTATTGATTAGTAAATAAATCTTGATTTAAAGTGAGCTTTCTTGACCAATGATTTAAATCAGTTTCAGTCAAATCCACTCTACCAAGAACTCAAGAAAAAGACCTTCCCTTTACCAACTGAGGTGCCAAAGAATTAGCTGGGTTGTCCATATACAAGACATTTGTTCTCTCTTCCTCTTGGAGAGGATATTCACCTTGACTTTTTTGTCTTCCCCAAAACATGGAGTTGTGAATTCCCATCCAAGGATTTCCTTTAAGTAGTTTCTGTGCTCTCTAGAGCAATTTCTGCGCAGCAAAGTGTAGCTTTAATTGGGTTTTGCGTTGGGAGGTATTCTACATCCAAGCATCTGTTGCACCTGGAAGTATTCTATATCCAAGCACCTTTAGTTTATTTGTTTTAAGGACATTAGGTCTTAAAGTGCCACTGTGCAGCTGAGATACAAAAATGTCTCATGTCCATATTTGCCAAAAAGTAGATTTATTTCTGGAAGATTCCAAAGGTACACCATTACAGCGTAAGTCATCTGTGAGTAAGACAGTTACCTGGAAATCTTCCTCTGGAAGAATTACAATAACAACTGATCTACTCACTAAGTACATGGACAAGAGTAATATATTATTTCTTCATCAGATTGGTCTTAAACTGGTTCTGTACTCATTCACATATGATCTCAACTCTGTCCTTGTACAACATGAACCCTTTTCAAGCCAGTATCACTCAAATGATGCCAGCCTCCTGAAAACTGTTTGAGTTGAAGCCTGATTTGGGCTATATGATGTTTTTCTTTTTAAATCTATTTTCCCTGGAAGAAATTGAAATGGCACCCCTCTGCAAGGAAAACATTTACATCGAAACTTGACTCAAGTAGATCATCTTGGTGCAGAGTAATAAGGCAAGTGGAAGTGAGTGTTAGTAGATCTCAAATAGACTTAACTTAGATTTCATACTCATGCTAAGCCACAACTTTTAGCCCTGGAGTTTTGGAATTTGCACATGGTATGGTTGTTGCTGAGAATTCGGGGGGCTGGCCATAGATCTGGAGATTACAGAGGTTGCAGAATCCCTAAAGTGATCTGTTTCATGTTGGCTTCATGCAATGTGTGAAACTAGCAGTTAGTGTTTATCATCTATGGTTTATTATATATGTTGTTTTTGTATTGTTCTTTGTTTTTAAGTATTTTTAACAATTTGTAAACCACCCAGAGTCACCGGGAGTTGGGTGGCATATTTTTTTTAATAATAGTAATTTAATAATAAATAATAATAATTAAATTAACAATTACATAATAATAACATAGCAATGAACCTGGGCTAAAAAAGGAGTAACTTAGTACAGTGTGTAAACTCAGCAATAATATAAGAAATCTAAGGAATAATTTCTTGGTCTCTTTGACTTAAACTTAATTGTGTCATTTTGGAAGTGACTTCAGTTACAACAATGAATAGACTTTTCCCTACATTGTTTTCTTGAAATTTTGTTTGTCTTTGTTTATATGCCACTTTTTCACAATGAGTTTGTTCATAAGGAGAACTGTTTGCTGCCTTGTGCATATTTGTAGAAAGGGGATACAAATAAAGCAAATTAAGTGAAAGTAGCTTCCAGGGAAAGATGCTAATCCGCATTCTCCATTGTGGTATCCTCTAGATATTCTTGGAGTGGCAACTTCCATATGTCCACCTAGGATAGCTAACATAATTCTAGGAACTATAGACCCCAAATGTCTGGGGACTGTGAAGTTGAGATAGCTCATCTACAAAATGTCATAGGTTAACTCTTCTTGGAGTAGAGGCTGGGAACATATGGGCATATGACCAGGTAGTTTAAAAAAAGCTGGAAAAGTAGTTAAAAAGCTGGAAAGTTGCAATACCCAAATCAACTTTAGCAGCATTATTTTGGAAGATTCAAGGGCCAACAATCATGTTGGGAAGCTGTGGGGTGCATAGAGCCTCCACAATACTGCACTGAGAAAGTCAGAGGAGACTTTTTGATTTGTTAGCCATTCTTGCTGGTTGGAAGAGCTAAACAGAAGCTATAGAAACCTATAAGAAGCTAAGAAACCAAGGCTGCGCTAAGTAAGAAGGTGAAGGAAGACAATAGCATGCTCCTTATTCAGACCTCTTTTAGGCAAGATCAATTTCTAGAGGTCTTCTTCCTTTTCCAGGTATAGTGAAATGTGATCCTAATCAGTGATTAGGAGCAAAAGGAGCCAATATTTTATACGGGAAGGAAGCCCCGTTAAAAACAGACGGTGGTGTTAGTTGGAGAGTGAGGTTCCTGTTAGGAAAAGCAGAGGATTATCTGCTACTTATGTATTTTTATTATTCAACTACCAGGCACATCACCTTTGAAGCTTACAGCAAAGACAGGAATTAAATGCTTTCTTGGGGGTGAAGTCCCTGTGGTGGGACATTCTTCCTGATCACCCAAATATATAGTGCATAATAATTTAATGACTGCTAGAGTTGGTTCTTCTGGTTGCTGATGGTTAGTCTCTTTGTTTTTACTGGTTTTTTATTCCTTGAACATTTTCATTCAACTCAGTTTTATTACGGTTGCTGACAAGTACTCAAGTTCATTCATTCAGTAGACCAGTGCTTCTCAACCTTGGCCACTTTAAGATGGGTGGACTTCAACTCCCAGAATTCCCTAGCCAGCCTTGCTGGCTAGGGAATTCTGGGAGTTGAAGTCCACCCATCTTAAAGTGGCCAAGGTTGAGAAACACTGCGAGTGGCTGGCTAGGGAATTCTGGGAGTTGAAGTCCACCCATCTTAAAGTGGCCAAGGTTGAGAAACACTGCGAGTGGCTGGCTAGGGAATTCTGGGAGTTGAAGTCCACCCATCTTAAAGTGGCCAAGGTTGAGAAACACTGCGAGTAGACAATGCAAAGAACAATATAAACTTCAAGCATTATTAGGTAACATAATAAGTTTAATAAGCATAGGAACCATTGTTTGACTGCATCTTGTTGTTCCCTAAACTGGGCTTGATGAGTAGCAACTGGCCCTGTAATTCTAGAAACCTGGTCTGCAAGAAAACAGCCAACGTAAAAATCCTCTGAGGTTTTGCAAATGATAGGATAGAAGAACGTGTTACGAAAATCCTTGTAGAAGACTCAGTGTAGCAGGACACGAGCCTTTTGACAATTGTCAAAATAGTTGAACTATTAGTACCTGCTCCTGCTAGATGTTCTGAACCCAAAAAACACAATGGACGTTTACAAAAATGAGAAACAGAACACAAGAATGAGTTAAAAATGACTCCGAGGCAGAATATTTATCCGTGAATATGAAATGGGCATCTTTTGGCTAATGGGGCTTCTTGTTGATCCCGTTGCCTAATATTTTACAGGGAACGCTCCAAGTGCCATAAAATGGCTGAAAACGGTAAAACCGAAATGGATTTTCCATATCTAACTTCTGTTTGCTTCATGGAACAGCGTCATTCTTCTTAAGCTGCAGGGATATTTTCCCACAGGCCCTTTCTCTTCCCTCCTGCGCACTGTTTTTGTTTTTAAAAATGTTTGGGGAATGCCAGAACGGTAGGTGGAGTAGGAGGCTGTTATTGTGTTGATTTCCTGAGATTGTTACTTTTGGCTTAGAATGCCCTTTTTCCCCCTTTTAAAACAGGAAGTAAATCAAAGCCATCTAGGTTTCCCCTCCCCCTCATAATTTTAGCTGGGTTTCTGCCTATCGATCTTCTAGCAAATATGTACAAGAGCAGGGTATATTTGTGTTATGGTGATACCAGTAAAGGATTCCTGAACCCGACCACCTGTTGCATGCAGAAGCTATTTTCCCAAGCTTTCCATCCGTGTTTTTTCCTGCTGTGTAAGGCGCTTTTTAAAGAAAAAATTTAAAAAGTGATATTCCAGCTGGTCACCTTCATCTGGAAAGAGGTGGCATCATTGTGCCAATGTCACATTGTAATGAATGTTCCTGTCTTTTTTTTTTTCTGTACAGCTGAGGAGGTGGATCAGCCATCACAGGATGCTGGAACGGTGGCTGAAGTTCTGGAATCCGGTGACACGACCCCCCCTTCCAAGAGAAAGAGCAAGTTTGCTGGGTTTGGCAAGATCTTTAAACCTTGGAAGTGGCGGAAAAAGAAAACCAGTGGAAAATTTAAGGAAACATCAGAAGGTAACCTGCTAGGCCTCAGTCATGTTCTCCTCTCCTTAAGCCCATATGGATTCTTTACCTGAGTTTGCTCATTGCATTAAGTGGTGATACAGCTTGCTTCCTTTTGGCTTTGAGTGGTAATGAGTGACTCTAGCCACCGTGCTTTGTAAACCATGATTTATGGCTTAACTCAGGGGAAGAATCGAGTCAAGTGTGGCTTAGTCAACAAGCCGCAATTAAAAGTCCGTGACTTCCTGCAATGTGAGACGCCAGTCCTTGTTTTGGAAACAGTATTGTTTTAATGCGATTCTAGCTTTGGCAGAAGTTCACTGAATCAGCAGGCCTTTCAGATCAGAAATTAACAGGAATAGCGCTTTGCGTTCTTACCTGAAAACAGCAGATTCCAGATCTGCTTCCACAGCAATGTCTCCAAAGTTTTATTGCCACTTCATATTGCTAGCCAACTGTGGCTATGACAAAGCTTTGCTGGAACCTGAAAAGATGAAGGGGCCTATGGTAGAATCCCAAACAGGATTTCAGACAAGAGGTTCATAGTTAAAGTTCCATTGACTGTTTTTCAGTTGTAGATTTCAATGTGCATTTAGGTATAAGGTGTAATCATTCCCTGTCCTCCCCTTCAAACATGGGTTGGGGGAAGATAAGTATTTAGATCAGAACATGTATGTAACATTCATCCTTGAAACAATCAGAGTAAGCCACTTATTAAATCATTAAAAATGATTTTCCCCATCTTTGCCCTCTATTCTGAGCGCTGGTTTTTTGTTTCCAATTTAATGTCAGTTTTAGAACGAAAGATTTCAATGCGAAAGCCAAGAGAGGAGCTCATTAAAAGAGGGGTTCTGTTGGAAGATGTTGAACAGGGTGAGTTTACCCACTGTCTTCCTCTGTGTGTTCTACATTTGCAGTTCCAGCTCTGACAAACCTCATCTTTGGCATTCCATGCCTGGGTGCCCCCTCATTTACTCCCCTCATTTCCTCTCACCCCCTTCCCCATCTCTGCTAAATGTGACTCTCTGTCCTTGTCTGCCCTTTGAACGTTTTTGCTATGGGTTCTGTATGTTCCAGGGAGAGCCGGCGAAAGAACGTTTCATTTATTTCCTTCCTTTTTTCCAAGGAGACATTTTAGGTGACAGATTATGAGTTGCTGAAGGTCAGCTAGCGAGTAGCTGGAAAGCTCACTTGGATTCCAAGGGAGCAGTGAAAATGAATACTGCAGGGGTAAAGCACGTCTTTCATATATGTGAAAGGCTTTGGTTCAATTCTTGATCATTGATGATGGGGCTGGACAAGACTTCATCTGAAATTGTGGATGACTGCTGCCAGCCTGGCTTCATCTGTGTTGGGATGGCAACTCCCAGAATTCCTAGCAGATGTGTGCTCACATCTGGACAATTCAAGACTGAGATAGAGCAGGAATGCTCAGTATTTTGGGACCATAATTTAGACTTTTGAAAGCATTGGCATTGCCAGTCATAAAACCCTTATTTGCTGGAAAGGAACAAGTGAGGATCCTCACTGCCAACTGTTCTAGATTCCCAGGATGTTTCCCTCTCCCCCTCCCAGGTGGGTACACTTTCTAAAAAAAAAAAGAAAAAAGAATGCCTTAATGCAAGATCCAGGAGCATTTTTGTTGATAAA